TAATGTGAGTCTTGTTTCCTTCCACTTCCATATTTGCTGGGCTAACAGAAGTGTAAATGCCGGTGCAATACTCATTTGTTAGCTTTGATTTGTTTTATTTCACCTAAAATACTTCCCCCATCAAGAGCCAGGGTCAAAATAAGAAATCAACTTTGTCTTTGACCTTTGGACCTAAATGACCTTGACCTTTAACCCAGTGACCCTGATCTTTGGTCAGTTGACTCATTCTTCACTTCCGACCAATTTTGCTTCATAATATCATAACCAAATATTCATCAGTGAAAAATACAAAACTAGACCTTGACCTTGAACCTTTGGAGCCTGTAACCTTGACCTTTGATTAGTTGACTCTGTGTTAAGTTCTGAACAACTTTGCTTCATAATAATATACAAAAAATGTTCATCAGTAAAAATATACAATATCTGACCTTGAAATTGACCCAGTGACCTTGACCTTAAGTCAGTCAACTCCTTGATAAATTCCAACCAACTTTGCTTCATCATCAGTGAAAATATGCAAAATTTGACCTCGATCTTTGACCAAGTGACCTTGGCCTTTGGTCAAATGACTCCTTGATTAATTCTGACCAACATTGCTTCAAAGTGTCATAACAAAATGTTCATCACGGAAAAGATACAAAATTTGACTTTGACCTTTGACCCAGTGACCTTGACCTTTGGTCAATTGACTCCTTGTTTGATTCTGACCAACATTGCTTCAGGGTGTCAAAACGAAATGTTCACCAGTAAAAATATACGAAATGTAACCTTGACCTTTGACCCAGTGACCTTGACCTTTGGTCTACTGATTCCTTGTTTAATTCCGACAAACTTTGCTTCAAAGTCTCATAACTAAATGTTCCCCAGTGAAAAGATACTGAATTTGACCTTGACCTTTGACCCAGTGACCTTGACCTTAAGTCAGTTGACTCGTTAAATTCCAACCAACTTTGCTTCATAATGTCATAACAAAATGTTCATCAGGGAAAAGATACAAAAGTTGACCTTGACCTTTGACCCAGCTACCTTGACCTTTGGTCAGTTGATATCTTGTTTGGTTGTGACGGACAGACAGATGAATTAGTATAGGGCGCCCGCATCTTCGATGCGGGGCCCTAATAACATGGAAGTTATGCCGTGGACAAACTTCGGTATTGAAAATAAACAAAGGGCCATAACCCTGTATATAGTGACGCACGACCTAATTTAAGTGCACTGCACACCTTCTGTGAGTGATGCAGATATATTTCAAGTTTGATTAAGATATCTTTAATTGTTTAGAAGTTATGCCATGGACAAACTTCGGTATTGAAAATAAACAAAGGGCCATAACCCTGTATATAGTGACGCACGACCTAATTTAAGTTTACTGCACACCTTCTGTGAGTGATGCAGATATATTTCAAGTTTGATTAAGATATCTTTAATTGTTTAGAAGTTATGCCATGGACAAACTTCGGTAATAAAAATAAACAAAAGGGCCATAACTTTGTATCTAGCGGGGCATAAAATCTGATTTTAGTGTGAGAAATTCCACCTTCCCAAGATACATCAATATGGTAAGTATGGTTAACGTAGGTGAAATAACGTAGAACTTATGCTCTGGACAAACTTCGGTACTAAAATTAAACAAAGGGCTATAACTGTATATAGTGGGTCACGAGACCTAGTTCTAGTGCACTGCACACCTTTTGTGAGTGATGCAAGTATACTTCAAGTTTGATAAAGATATCTTTAACGGTTTGAAATTTACGGGCCGGACAAGAATTTACTGAAAATGTGCACTTATTTGACCTTTGACCTTGAGGTAAAGGTCAGTGACCTTATTCCAGTGCACTGCACACCATCTGTGGGTGACGCATGCATACCTAAAGTTTCATCAAGATATCTTTAACGGTTTAAAAGTTATGGCCAGGACAAGTCAGATTAGAAGAACCAGAAGAAGAAGAAGAAGAA